TTCCATTGAATTTGCAATGCAAAAGGTGACGTCCTCGGTGCCATTGTCGAGTTGTTGGGATCTCTGACGCGTGATGAATGCCGACTTGTACTTCGAATTATACGGCAGGGGGGGCCGCTTTTCCACGATTTATCACGGTTCCCTATCGAACGACTTTCTCCTTCCTTAAGCTTTCTCCAAGGTTTTTGCAGAATGCACCACGTATTCTGGGAAATCTTAGAAATTTTCTTCGATTTCGTCGTTGATCTCGTTTGGAATATTCTAAATATTCGAAGTGTAATTCCTTTGGAATTTCGTTGATATGTAAATTGCGATGTAGATCGATCGTCTATTAAGTTGAGAAGAATTTTATGGATAAAAGAAATATAGGAGAACGAATGTAGAGACGAATCGGATTCTCGTGAAAATCTCAATTATAAATAAATCGCAAAAAATCTTTCAAAATAAATTACAAGAAATTACTTGCGTATCTTTTATCTTTTAATTTCCATATAGAATATTAACGAACAATTTTTAATGAAATCAACGTTCAAACTTCTTTTCCTTTTTTCAAAGTATAACTTTATTTATACTGCAAGAACGAAGCAAATTTTTAAATTAAAAAAAGAAAATATTCAAAATTTAATATCCTATTAAAAAAAATTCCCAATAAAGATAAGAATCAATACTTAAAATTTCCAAGTTTATCAAATCACATTCCTCGAGACATCGTTCCAACACTTTTATACGAATCTGACGAATAACTCTGACGAACTCGTACGCGATCGACGTCGAAAAAATTCTTCTCTCTCTCTCTCTCTGTCACGAAGAAGAACAACAATTGCATCGATTGATCCAGTTCGCGTACAAACTGGAGCGTGATCCTTTATCACTTTATCCGGAATACCGTGAAACCAATCACGACCACCCTAAGGGCGGAAGAGGAAAGAAAAGAAGAGTGAGAGAGAGAGAGAGAGAGAGAGAGAAGAAAAGAAAAGACACGTGCGGGGATAACCACCGCGAACGAGTTTAATTAATCCTCTTTCAGCCTCTCCGCTGTAACTGGAACACGCTTATTATTCCTCCTGGGATCGGTTGTTCCAATGACGGATGCGAGCCGCGCTTCCTGTCAGGATTCCCTGATCGAAATAGACCTCTCCACCGTGACCTAATAGGCGAGCATTACCGATTGTCGCCCTCCTTCATTCAATTAGAGGCTCTGATTGATTGCTCGTCCGTTCGAGTGGCTATTAGCTTGATGAGAGTCTTAGGGATCTTTGATCGAGGCAACGTTTTACGCTCCCAAGATTTTAATTACTTTGCGAATCTCGTAAAGATTTGATTTTTAAACAGTGAAATAAGAATAATTCGATCGAACATTTAAATTCAGTAACAAAGATGAATGGTTGAGAGGGAATTTTCTCAAGGCTCTGTATGGATCTAATTTTTCGTGCGAGAATATAAAAGTTCGTTCTAATTTCATCTATTCGTTCGTTTAAGAAATAAAACAAGCACGAGAGCAAAAACTGGTAGCACGATTTAACACGATCGTGGAGAAGAACTTAGAGAAATTTTAACTTTATCCGAATCTAAGAAAAAAAAAAAAAAAAATACTATCAATGCAGAAAATCGTCAAAATCAAATCTTCCAAATATATACCATCTCCTTCCTCCAGCAATCTTCGCGAAAGCAAAAGGATCGTCTCGAAACATCGGTACGAAAACATCGAGATGGGGGATTCTGATTTGATTCGTGTGTAGTGACAATGAAATTCAGGAGAAGTACTCGGCGAGAACCGCTTGAATATGGAGAAGCTCTATCCATCGCGCCAACTTCCACGATCATCGTGCCTCGAGAACTCCATCCTCGAGTGGCGGAAGCTTCAGCAAGGGAACCGTAGAGCAGCCCGTCTTCGAGCAATCGTTATTCGAGGTCGTTCAAAATAATGGATTTCTGATCTAATTACTTAGGGAGGGACGACGGCCAGAGAGTTGAGAATCCTCTTTCTTTCGCCTCTCGTTATTGCTACGCGAGAAACTTTCCGCGCGATTTCATAATCTCGGCCAAGTTTTGTCCAAGTTTTATGGGGCGGGGAACAAGACGAGATTTTATCCTTTCCCAACTCCAATTAACTCCGTTTCGAGACGGAGTTCGACTCGAATGTCACACTTTTGATATTTCTTGGAAACGTTTGAAGCTTGCGCATTGTTTCCCCGTTGATGAATATTTTGATTAATGTAGCTCCAGTGAATGGGGTAATTTCGAGTAACGGAGATTTCGTTTCCTTTTCTATACTCGACCGATATCAAAGTTTCCACGGTGGATTGGAGTTAATTACGACGTTTGAACGAGCGAGCAGGGGAGGGGGTGGATGAAAAAGAATCGAAATGGAGTGGAAGTCTCTGGGGGTTGAGAATAATATTGTTCGAAAGAGGGGAAAGAAAATTTCAGAGAGTAACGTCGCATCCGATATCGAACGAGTGTAAAAGTATTTGCAGTATAAAGGGAAATTTCTCATTCGTCGTATAGTTAATTCATAGGGTGGAAAAATATTTAAAAAATTGGAGGTAAAAGTTTCCGTTGTTATCGTTTGTAATTTAAAAATCACAGAGACGTTGGAATTTTTAATAAAAAAAAAAAAAAAAAAAAAAAAATAATCTACATCGTCTCGTTCGAGTCGATCCACGCGGACAGAGTTAAGATTTTAAATCGACAATTTTTACACGGCGACACGATTTAAAGATCGACGGATAGATAAAAAATTAAAATTCTCTACGATTCAAAAAATCGTATAAAAAGGTGGAATTATCGAGGATAACAAACGGCAATATTATCGAAAGTTGGATTGGTTGGTGTTATGGACAAATATGGTCATCGAAAGCAACAAAATTTGTTTTCGCAAGAAGATGGGTGCCCGATCATTCGATGGACAATAGACAGGCGTGCGTGACATCGTCAGCAGCCGATGCTATTGGGTTAGTGGTACCGCGGGAGCTTGATGAAGTGCACTTGAGTGTACTTGACGCAAAGACGCTGAATATGCAAGCTCGCCGGATGCCGGCTGTCGGCACGATGTATTACTGCGGATCTTATCCAGACCACTGTCATCCATATTGAAACCTATTTGCATTTCAAACTTCTCCTTCGCGCACTTCAAATCCTCTCCCTTCTTACATTCGTTTTAAATTTTATTTTTTCCTTCCTCCTTTCCTTCTCCTCTGCAAGATTTAGATTTTCTCATGCACGAACGAACGAACGACGATTAAACCTGCAACCTTTCGTGCAACTTCTGATTTCATTTCATTTCTTGGAAGGGCGATCTCGAGGATGCTCGAGGGGGATTAAATTAGAATCGTTGGATATCGATATAACAACAACTTCGAGTTCGATTATCTTGCAAGGTTATCTCGATGATTCAAGAAAGAATTGTTTGATCATCTCGCGAGATTATCTAAATAATTAGGAGGATTTGCTTGTTATTCCTTGATCTAGATCTATGAAGAACATTGGAAAGTTCGGATATTTGGAGAGCGAAAAATCATCGAATCTGAACTGAAACTTCAGAAGATATAAAATAATTCTTAAGAAAAAGTATTACACAACAAACTGAATCGAAAAAATCGAAAAAATTTTAAACGGAATTATTCGATCGATAATTCTGATTTTCTCGTGGAAAAAAATTCCATCCATCATCGTAGACGAAAGACAAATACATCGTGAAATTTCGAATTTCGAACGCTTCCTTCCCTCTCTCTATCTTTTCCACGAGAAAAATCGAACGACGCAAACGAAAGAAAGAACCAGGGTCGAAGAAATAATCTTTGAGATCGAAATATCGCCTTCTAACTACCACCCCTCCTCCTCACGAACTCTCCTCGAGAAACGTTTTCTGGACAATCTTGACTAACGAGAATCGTCCAACCACGCGGGGAGAAGCAATCTCAACGTCTCATCTCCCCAAGATTCCCTTGATATTTCATCCCCCGATTTTCAAAACCAAGGCCTTCCACCCTTTAATCCTCGAAGAAGCCCGTCTCGAGCAGATCTCTCTCTCTCTCTCTTCGTTTTGGGATTACACGGAGATCAATCGAAGATTCTTGGCACGGAAGAACGGGTCGACAATGGCACCGTGTCGTTTTACACCACTTCTGGGACCGATATCTCGAAGCTGGACGACGCGTGAGCGTCGCCATCGCGCTGCAAAAGAACGCACGTTTCGAGGAGACGCAGCGTCACGACTCAGTTTTCACTTTCCTTCTTTCTTTTTTTCTAAAAGAAAAAAAAAAAAAAAAAAAAAAACAAACCTGAACCATCCCTTCCCCCTCCTTTCTCCTCGAACAAGAAAAAGTTTCCAGAAGGAAGATGGAACAATCCTCCCCTTCCTCCATTGTGACGCTGCATCCCCTGGAACGAAAGATTACGGGTCCCAGTGAGCGTCCTCGTGACCAGGTTTGTCCTCGCGTCCGAGTTTTCTTTCTTTCATTCTCTCTTTCTTTATTTTCTTTTTTCGAAAAAGTTTTTCCACTGGAAAATGGAGAGAGAGACCGGTCACGTCCGCGCGATGATTGCGGCTGCAGGAGGGAATAAGGGAGGAATCGAAGGAATGAAAGAGGGCACGGAGGTGAGAAGATTGCGAAAGTTAGGCGGATAAAAAGGTTGTTCGAGCGACGAGAAACTCCGGTGGATCAGTTCTGGTGTTCCTCGTGTAGCCTTCGAACGAACTCTCGGGGATTGTTCGAGCGAGAAACTCGTGGTGGCGTTGAATCGAGGGATGGGGGAGGGGTTTCAGGGAGGGGATGGTGGCGGTTGGATTAACGGCGGGGGGGAGAGGATCGGTGAGAGATTTCGAGCGCGAATCCATCCTGGCGACGAGGATTTCGTGGCCCTGGGACGCGGCTGTGTATGTGTGTGTGTGTGTGTGTGTGTGCGTGTGCGTGTGTGTGTGTGGCTTAAGTCTAACTGTAATTCTCAGGGGTGGGTTGACAGGGGTGGCTCGCAGCCTAAGGGCGACGTGAGCTTACCTTGCTTCCTCTTTCGTTAAATATGATTTCCACGTCGAGGATCGGCCCGAATTGCTGGAAAACAGAAAGCAACGTTGTCTCGAGAACGTGTCATCTTCGTGTTCAACCCATTAAGGACCAACAAGGGGAAATAATGATTAATGAACTTATTCGAATGTGACGTTATATATTTTTAAAAAACAATGTACAAAAAAAACGAAACATATTTGTTAGCGAAAGTTTAAGAAAGATACTTTGTCATTCGATACAAACTTTATAGAAACTTTATAAATATTTTGCTTTATAAATCGAAGATAGAGGAATAAATTTCCATAGTTTAGAAAAAAAAAAAAAAAAAAAGAAAAAGAAAGAAATACAATCAATAATATATTGTTAACACGTTAAACAATTTAATTTCTTCAAAAGTTATATAGAATTGTAGGATCCGTCGAAAGATATTAACGTAACATTGGTCCTTAATGAGTTAATATAAAAATGAATAATAAGGGATACGATTATCAAAACTTTCAAAACTATCACTTCCATACCATTATACGAACGAATAATTAATTCACTCCCTCCCACGGTAATACAACACGATCACTCGTTAAACTTTTTGCAAAGTGAAGATAAATAATTGAAAATTGAAACACTTACCCCAAACATTGCCCTGAGATCAGGGTCTCGGAAGCGGAAAGGTATATTGCTGACGTGAAGGCGTTTCGGTTGACCTTTCAAGTCTGTACCCTGTGTTGCGGTGGCAGGTGTGGTTGCACCTGAAGTGACAGGTACCAGGGCGCTGCCCTCGACGGCGCCCTCGGGGTTGCTCTCGTTGCCGGCGGGTGTGGGGGCGGGTTGCTGGCCACCGCCGCCCGCAGCCGCTGCTGCCGCGGCCGCAACTGCTGCCTGAAACACCTCCGACTGTCGTCGAAGGTCAAGCATCGTGTCAGCATTAAAAAGCAACTCGTGTGTTCGAGATTGGTCGATGATAAAAAAACTCGATCTTTCTCGATCGAATTTTTATTCCTTTATTCTACGTCTATTGGAAACCCGAATATTCTCGCGATGCTTTTCAAAAGGAATTCAAAGTAACATTTTCTTGGGGATTAATTGGTTTTCGTACTTGTCGAGAAATCGTTAAAGATCTTTTTCGATCTTTTCGCGCTGCATCGAATGTGTTCAAAGCTGTTTTTCTTTTAATTTAAATTAGTAATCCTAAAAATATCTAAAATTAGTACAATCTATAAAGTTGATAATGAATACTTGAATATTTTTCTTGGCCGTTCAGGTTGCAATTGAATTCTCCAAATGATTGGGTTGGACGAATTTTCGCAAAAGAAGAAAAAAGCAAAAGAACGAGATGGGAGAACGAGAGGAAGAGAGATCGTTAGCATTCCAGATGTCCTGATACTAGAAGCCGCAAGTAGAGACGGCTGTAAGTGGTCAGCCGCATGCCCGACCTTATCTCGCTTGCGCCACTAACGAGGCTAAGTGAACGCACGCCGCGTATAGTCAGACGCAGCTGCCGCTGCGTGGAATTTCTACCCTCGCTACTGAATACCACCTTCAACTTTATCACGTCTGTCGCTACCCTACACTGCCAACTATCCATTGGAACTAAAGCGATTTCGACCACGGGGTCCGACTATTAATAAACGCTTAGCCTTAGAACGACAAGTTTCAACCATTCACCACGTTCAAAATCATGGACGATGCAGCCATGGGATACGATTATTATTTTATCTTCACTATTATAAATAACAATTTGAGGATCTCTTGGATTGCAAATTTTCGTCGAAATCAGCACACACATCGATGATTAGTTTTAGTCGTTCCGGCTGTTTTAGAATGAGTCGAAAATACTTTTTCCTTTTAAGGGGAGCAATTAATTTCCTCGGGAATAACAAATGGAGTGGTGCTCAAACGTCTCATCGAGAAAGGAATTAATCTGAGCGTCCAAGAACGTGATAGATGCTCGATGAAATTTAGATGGGGCGGGAGAGCCTTGCCTCCTTTTCTCACCGTGGGAAACTCACGAATTATTCATCGAGCTTCGACACTGTCCACTATCCACCGATCCTAGTAGAGATTAAGGGAGACGAAGAGGAAGGATTTCAATATGCTTGCAGACGTGTTGTGCGACCCAGGTAGCTTGTTTCGTGGTGGATTAGAAGAACTTTGTCTTTTACAATCTCTTTCTAGAAAAAATTCTGTAGATCTGGGAATGGAAATTTTGTTACTTATTCTTTCAATGTTCGCCCGATCGGATCTCTCTTCTTTGAGGATTTTTTCTGTAATATTTTCTGTAAATATTGCATATTTACTTTCTTTCTTTGTTTAACGATTCGATTCTTGAAATGATAAAAATTTTATATCGAAATAATAATAATAAAAAGAATCATAGATGAATTCTCCGCAACCACGTTTAATCGAACGATATATACACCATTTCAGCTTGTTTTCTTAATACTTTCCATTCATACAATTTTATGAGTGACGTTTCAATTCGACGAATTACACACGATACTGCACTCTTTTCCCTTGAAAATTATTTCTTGAATACAGATATTAACGCTTTTCTTTTCTATTTAGATAAATAGAAAGCAAAGAAATATGAAATATTTCCAAACAGATTTCGACGAAATCTAAAATATATTTAGAATTTTCCGGATTCTTTTTATACAAATTTAAAGTATAAATAGGAGAAACGAGAGTGATCCCTCTTTGAAAATATAAGAAGAGTCTGGAAGTGGGAAAGGTGTATTTTTCGACCGCAAGGGATTTCACGATCGAGTACCATTAACCCTGAGGAGAAACGTTTCGTAGATTTTCCAGGCGAAGGTCCTTCAGCTGACATAAATAATAGGGATTTCTCTCCACCCTGGCAGGAATTTATCGTTCCCGAAAACTGCGGGTCATTTGTTTCCTTCTCAATTCCTTTTAAAGGAGTAGCCGCAAAAATACACTGGGATCCGACACAAGGGGCAAGACCTTAGAACCAAAGAACAAACGTCATCAGTCTTCCCAGTTTCAGTTAGACCAACCAATTTCGTGTTAAATTTATGAATTCGCGATGGAGGAGGAACAATCTGAACAATCTTTTATTCGAAAAAGTTTTCCCTTCCTTCCCCTCCCCGAATCAGAGATTTATGTGTTTTCCTCTTGCACTCGAGGTATCTGCAAGTGTCTTTTTGGGTTACCATTTTATTGTTTACGAAGACGTAATCTCGTTAAAATTTCTCAAACGTTATAGTTTATCGACTCGTATTAAAATATACACGAAATGTACACATATCTGTGTGCATAACAAACTAATAATAAACTTATAATATGACTTTTAAACTTAATAATAATTTTAATTAAAATTCTATTCAATTTAACGATGAAATTTTCTATTTGCCTCTGTAACGATATATCTTCAAAGTTTCTCCAAAGATTCTCCTCGTTAATTCCTTTCCTCCTAAATTTCGACACAAAACTTATTAATCCTAATTAATATTAATATCCCTAGCACATTTCATGCACCCGATATTAATTTAAATTTCTTATTAGAAAATTACCGAAACGGAAACAGATCGTAAACACGAATCCCTAATTAAATTCGAAACCGCCGCTACAAAATTATTCCAATCCAAAATCCTTCGAACCTTCTTCTCCTCTTCTCCCTACATCTTTCAGAAACAGTCTCAACTCGAGAACACTCGCGAAACTCTCGCGAGAACCCTTCGTCCAAGGGGTAAGAGAGGGTGGATAATTCCGCGATGGAAAATCCGCGAAACACTCGAACTATCCTCGAGACGTCGGTATCGGAGAACAAGGTTGCGAATCGAAAAATTTTCGAGACATCGGCAATCCGAAAACTTTGCTCGGATGAAAACTGGATTCGTCTGGGCTCCTCTTCGCGTGAAAGGAGAAACGACGTCCATGGGAGCCCATTCACCGTGCTCGTTGAAAAGGAACTTTTAATTTGCGCCAACCACCGATTTCAATGGGCGCTCGACTTTTGGCATTGTGAGGCAAAACTGCGCTCCTGTGTCTCGCCCAGTGTGATAATGCTCTCCTTGAACGAGGCGAGGCACAGGTTTTTTTTTTCGTTCGTTTCGTCTTTTCGAATTTATTGAATGTACCACAGTTGGTTAATGGAAGAGGTTAGAAGATTATAGGAATATCGTAGAATGAAGAGAGAGAAGAATCTTTAGAATAAGTTTTAAGATATAGAGACGGACTATCGAATGAAATTGCATTTGAATCGCTCTTTCCTTTTATTCGAAAACTTCGTAAAACTCATCTGTTTAGACAAAATTCTAATTGTGAATTAAAATCCGTTTGGTTACGAAAGAAAGAGGTCGATAATCTGGATTGGAACTGTATAATAGATTTATTGGAGCGAAACTTTGGCCACCATTCGATTAATTGCTAAACGAATTCGTATTAATGTATCTATACGCACACAGACTCGATTATTCGAATTATAGAGAATCAGAGAATTTCTATCACGGTGTATCAACTGTGTATAATTTGTTTGTCCCGTTCCAGGTCCAGTATGAGGTGTAGATAAATTGTAGAACTCTGGTTCTATAAATAGCCCGGAATTAAACGCTTTCTATAGAACGATTGTGCATAGAGAGACCATTTCGAATGCATTTGAGTATTATGCAAGATATGGAATTAATTTTAACGTTCAAGCTGCATCACGTTAATTTCCTCTTAAGCAAGACACGAATGAAATTACGTATACGTATCTTTGAAATGCAGCAAAAAGCAAACATATGTTAACGAAATTGGATGTAATTCAATGTGATAGCATGAAGTGATTCTGTATTTTTTCCGAATCGAGAGTAGATTTTTTTTTTCCTTTTTGATTTTTAATAAAGGAAATTTTTTTAAAAGGACGAAGATTCCTGAAATATTTCTTGAATTTCACGTCCACAGCAACTGAAATCCCATAGATAGATATCTCTCCTTGAAAAACCAGATCCCCAAGTGCCTTCTTCCTTCAATGGACAGATGTTCAAGGTTCTTCGACTTCAAAAGTCCATCTCCAAAATCACCTAATCCTTAAGTAGATCTTTGGATGCAGTGAATTTCGTGGGACCAGCTCTCAAAGTACGTCTCCAATCTTCCAAATCAAAATCCCTTAGAGATACGATTACTCCTTAGGTGCTTTCGATCGAATCAAGCATCTCTAAAGCTATTTTCAAAACATCATCTTTCTCGTTTCCAAGATAGAGATTACAAATTTTTAGAAACATAAAATTCTACCACTTCTAATTTTCACGAAACAAAAACTCTTTCTATCTATCTATTAGCCTTTCAATTGCACGTTGCAAAACCACAACAATTATCGAACATCTCCTTCTTTTCTTACGCCAAATAATTTTATTTATTTATTTTTTTTAAACGACAAGAAAGACCTACCTCTCAACTTTTCCCAACTTTTTATCAATCGAGTCAAACCTTGTTCGAACTTCAAACAAAACAAAAATGTATACACGAAAATTAGAGCTTCTCGTTCCTCCCCAAACTCTTCAACAATTCAACAAGATTCTGTTGAAAACGTTGAACCAGGGGATCGCAAAATGGTCGAAGAGGAACGAAACGCGGCTTTACGAGTCGGTGACTAACCGGGGCCGGATAATTGAGGGACGGACAAAGCGGCCACGTCGTCCGGAACCACGACATTGTTCGAAACTCTTCACGCTTGGCTCAACCGTGTCCAAAATGGTCCGCGTGCCCGCCGTACGCCTGGGTTAATTAGATACGACCGTCCGACAAACTGTCCTCCGAATCGTACGTCCCGATTCTTGTCCCGATAATTCGTGAGTCCCTGCTCAAGTCAAGGAAGGATAGGAAAGCCCTCGTCTCTCTGCATGCGTGCAAATTATCGAGCGGTGGAATTTGCAATTCGAGATTGAATGGAAACCGCGAAATTGAAATGGCAATCGAAGGAGGGGAGGATCGTTGCGAACGTTTACATAGCCAGTCGTGTTATGTTTCGACGATGTGATCAATTGGAAAATTGATTAAACACTTGTCCCCGATTCGCGTGGAAATTGCTGGTTGGTTTAAATGTTTTGGTTTACGGAAAGAATTCCAATTTTTCATCGAAGGATCGTCCATTTTTTTTTCCTTTTACAAAGGAAATTAAATTATGCGCTTTACTATCGTCAGGGATAATCATATTCTCGGGAAGAAAAAAGAGAAATCAATTTCGATATTAGGCGAAATATCCCTCCCCTGAAATCTTTCATTCTAATCCCTCCATTTTTTTTCCACCGATTCAAACAACTCTCTTGCGATTCAAACCGAACCAGACGAGATTGGCAAAGATTTACCGGGCCTTTTAATTAAAAGCTGTTGTCGGCCGTGTCTAACTAACGTGGTGGCAAAGAATTACCCCCTCCCTCCCGTCGCCAGAATCCAGTCAGCCGTCTAGTAAATCGAATTAACGAACGGATTTACTTTAATTAGCGCGGCTAATTAGGCCGCTTTATGAGTCGCGTTAATTGCCAGGCGCGCACGCCACCCGACGACGACGACGAGTTGTTATCGCGCGCTCAAATAAATTTCGATCGCGTTTACAATGGCGTTCGAGGGCCGAGAAGGATGGAAAGAGCGAGCGGGGGGTATTCACGTGTTTGATCGTGTCGATAAAAATCATGCGGAAGGAACAGTTGTTCTGCCCTCTCTGGGTAATTTCTTCGACGAGTAGGGTTTAAATCGAGGGGTGGCTCGAGCCCAGCTTTCATCCTTCATTTTCGTCTTCTTTCTCGAAACTACGGATCTTGCAATTTCAACCCCTTGCATACGTGTCGTCTCGTGCTGGTTAAACTGCTGGCTGGATATTATATCGTGCGAATTTCAAATTTGAAATTTATTAAAAGTCGAGTTGAAAAAAAATTGGCAAGAATTTTCACTAGTTTAAAATTCCAACGAGGTATAAATTACAAAGAAAAATATATTAAGAATTTCTAATTCTCAGTAGAGATTTAATCAAATCAAATCCCATCCCTTCGTCGTTCCCTTAATTCCACGAAATTTTCGAAACTTTCGCAAATACCCTGCGAATATCCCTCCTCGATTCTATGGAACTTTCTACGGAACCCCTGTTCCTCTTCTACTCTCGTTCGTACGTGCCTTGAATCATCGAGGCTCATCGTAGACGTGACGTGGCGTCGATTACGTGAACTTTTGTCGGTGAACGGCAAAGGTCCTGATGAAACAAGGAGAATCTGGATCCAAGAGCTACTTGGGCCGGTGTTAAAAGCGCGGTCTATCGATGCGACCTCGGCGTTCTACCGGCCGTATCCGCCGGAAGTGAGTGTTCCCCCCCTCCCCTCTCTCTTCCAGTGCGAAACGCAGCGGGAATGTCAACGAGTGGGAGAACACGAAACGGTTTGATAAATCGGACGATGCTTTTCGTGTAGGATATTACCATATTTTCTCTTTTTTTTTTTTTTGCACGTTTGTTTCGTTCTTCGTGGAAATGAAGAGAAGAGCAATACGTCTTCATAATAACGATTAATTTTTTTTTTTTTTTAGTTTATTTAGCTTTATATTTAGCTTTTCATGGGAAGAATAGAAAATTAATATGGTTTTTGAAGAAAGAAATCTTCCTTTTTATACGTATAATATATAAGGATGCATAAATATTTTTGATTATAATATAATTTGATTATAATTAATCTATTTTCTATTCTATTCACATTATTTTATAGCTATCGTGCCGAATTATTAATTAATTGCAACACCAGTAATTTCGATTAAATCGATCGTAATTAATTTCTAATAAATTAATATCCAAGCGAGGATGGATTGCTGGTACATTGGGCTGGTAAATCTTAATCGATTAATAAATAACGATAACAAAATAACTTATCGCTCGAAACCAGACGTTTATAGCAATCACAAGTAGGTCTTAACACGCGTTATCCACACTCGTAAAAAAAAAAAAAGATCATCAACGTCAACTTTTACTGCGAAAAATGAAAAATTCATTTATCCTCCTCACTGCGTGCAAATTAACGAGTCAATTATACAAGACAAACCTTTCCAAAAATTTTACAATTACGATACAATTGTAATTGTCGACCGATCTCGAATGAACGAAAAGCAAAGTGACGAATGGAAGCGTATATAAAAAAAAAAAAAAAATACGAGCGCTATACTCACAATAGCCTGTTGATCGACGCCGTTTGGAGGCGGGGGCGGGCTGAAGCTGGCCGCGGTCGGGGCACCGGGGGCGGTTGGATGTGGGGCACCAGCCGGCGGTGGAACCTGAGGGCCGCTGGGTGGTGGCTGTTGGGGTGCGCCGCTGTTGTCCTCCTTCACCGGCACCGGGGGTGGTGGTTTCACCTCACCGGCAGCCCCTGCCGCCCCCACGACGCCCGCTACGCCGTTCACCGGCGGGGGGAAGACACCCCCACCGTAGGGCGCAGCCATTCCTGTCTGCACCATGTGCTGCGAATAAGAATATCATATGTTATTCTTTTTTAAAAGCAAATAGATCATAGACGAGAGATTTAATTTAATTGTTCGAGTCCTGTCTTTAAGGACGCTTCTGGATAAAGAGACAAATGTCGTAGAATTTGTTTAGTTGAGTTGAATTTCGAGGAAATAATGTTTGAGGTTGAATGAAGGATAGGGAGAAGGTGTTGATTAATATATTTTTTGGAATAGAAATATATACCTTTGGAGGATAAGGTTGATAAATTCGTCTTGTCGGTGTAAATAAGTGAAAATTCGATGGACAGGCGAAAAAACAAATTGTTAAAATCAATACTCGATTTGTTTTTTAGTGATTAAATTAATTAAAAAATTGATATAACGCACACACTCGAATCTCGATTCAATTCGTTTTTCAATTCATCACAATGCGAGAAGTGATAGCGTTATCACTTTTGTGATAGATATTAAAAGGAATCGTGAACTCTTATCGTACGAACCCTGTCATACAGAGGTGAGAAGATGACTAGTACAAGGGTATTCCATTCCCTCCGTTTGACACGCAGTTTCAAAGTCTCCTATTGACTTTTTGGCAACATCCTTTAACATTATATTAGTAAGATGGATAGATTACGTAAATAGAATCTCTCTATTGCTTTGAAATTTGTAAATCTAATGTGAATTTTATCAGCTTGATCCACAAATTTTTAAATTAAAATAAATTTAAATTAAAATTTATCCAAATAAATAATTGCATCTGAATCTCTAGTTGCGCAATCTATCTATCGCATATTCTATCACATATCGTGGTTCAATATTCTACAGTTTATTATCCAGTGAATGAAAAATTTCTAAAATACCAAACTACGAAACCAAACATCAAAATACTTTAGGCTATCATTTAGATACGAAACCACTTCGGAATCAGCTCGTTTAACGCAACGTTTAACCTGCAGAATAGTTAGATATTATCCTCTCTATCCGGCATATCGAAATATTTGCACATCGCCGCACAAAACTTCCAACACAAGCGAAATTCCTAAATATCGCAGCATACCTCCAGAAATCCCTACTAATGAAGATTCTTAGAATACTAGATATCCAACCGCGGTTATAAATAACGTAATATTCTGGCACAACTCCACCATAGTGTCGCGGTTCACCGCACAACTGTTCACTGAACACCTTCCCTCTCGGACGATCCTCCCTCCCTTCTTTCTCTCGTCGAGGCGTACTCCATCGTGTTACCGCTCCAAACTGGTTTCGCGCGTCGATCGTAACTGACGAATAAACACCGTCGATTCCCAACTAGAATCACTCTTCGAGCGTTTCGAAAAAAAAGAAAACAGTGTCGACGATAAGAGGTGTTTCGTCGAAATAAACATTGCTCGTACAACAAAAGTATCAACATTGATTCGCGAGCGTGGGATATTCGTAAGCGTACTCGAGTCGAGCATATTTTCTTTTGATCATCGCGATAATTAAAAAAGATTACGATTCGATTCTCCCGAAAGACACGTAATTCCACAAATTCGAAGCTAACTTGTGAAACGAATACGAATCAAGTTTCATACTAATCGAAATTCAATTTGATCGCGAGTGCAAGCTCGAAACCTCGAAATCTCGTATTTTATCATTGAAAATGAAAACGCGGGATTTGAAACGCAGTGGGGGAAACGAGGCGATGATTGTGCCTTGCGCTATGAATTTTTCAGCGTGTATACGACAATAAATACACTCGATAACGGCTATTAAAAGTAGACGCCGCAAATCATTTCGCGTGTTGCACGCGCGCCGATTAGCTACATGCTACATAAATGTAATCCCTCGTTTTTTCCTCCATTCGCCTCTCAGGATTTCGCGAAAAGGAAAGGAAAGAGAGGGGGGGAGGAGGGCAATATTTGCGCTCGTATATCGGTTGCACCGATATACTCATTCACGAGTCTATTGTTGTAACATCGGCTCGTAGTATCGGCGGTATGCAGATGGGTTATACGGGTCCGCGAAATTAATTATTATCGACTAAATGGAATCCTGCGTGAAACGATGCGACGCTCGATCGAGAGCATTATCGTCTGAGATTAATTGAGATGCGTGTTTATAGAGAGATTTGCCGCGGATTCGAGTAAATCGGTTGTCGATTAATTTCGATATCGGCTCGAGTTGTTTTATCGTTTTATTTTTCTTCACCTTCCTTCTTTCCTTCTTTTCATCCTTATCTTTGGCCTAGATATTCTCAGACTATTTAAATACGTACGTATGTACGTTAAATGTAAATGTCACAGTTGTGGACGAGTATTATTTTTGTAATTAAGTGTCACGAGACCTTGTAAGGGAGAATTTTCGAAAATTCGGAAAAATTTTAAACCACCTGGGGATATTCTTGGATTATTCTATCGTCAGGAACGAGGATATTTCCTAATTTTTAAAACATGTCACGAAAACCCGTGTTTCTTTCAAATACCTGTATATACCTTTTAATAATTAACGAACCAAATAAGTTTTCTTAACAATCTTATAAAGAGAATCCTTCGTTCTGCAATTCCCTGCAATTGGAAAACGATCTCTTTGCCACTTCAGTTTCCAACTTCTCTTTCTTTACGCTTCCTCGCAATTACGCGATCCTCCATTTTCCATACAAGACGTGTGTCATCGTAAGATGGATCCCTCTGTCCAAAAGAGTAAAAATATTGACAGAAAAATTGTACAATCCTTAAAGCAAGATTACGATGGGAATCGATATATATCGATATATATCTCGTAAGAGACAGTTTACAGATGTTTCGCGTGCTCGTCTTTCGAGATTATTTCTCGAAACACGTGGCCAACCAAGTTCCACGCCGCCATTTGTTCGCCCTTCAAGATCCATTTTTCTCCAAGATCCATTCCAGGGGGTCGAGGCTATTCGTGATGGTCATTTGTTATTTAGGGGTCGATGGTGGGAGGGTCGGTTCGTAATAAAAGTTTTGCTTGAATTTCACAGGAGGAGTTATTTGGAAAAAAGAGATCGGTTATCCATGATATTCTTGGAATTTTTTGGAATTGGAATCAGAGATGAATGCTCCGTTTCCGTGAGAGTTGATGGAGAGTGCGAGATATCGACGCGAAAAGTTTAATATCAGAAGTGAGAAGCAAAATTAACGTCTTAATGATCCGTTATCTTTCGATAATTATCCGATATAAATCGCTGCTGCAGTTATTTTTAAAAATAAAAAAGGCGATTGAAATAATTCGTTCCATTTCGAAATAAAATCTACGCCAATCCTGCCTCGTTTTTTATTTATATTTATTGCAAATAAAATCTACTGCACATAACAATCAACCATTCTAGCATATTTGTTAAATCAATTGCAAGGTTTAATTAAAATCGAACACGTATAAACTTCAATTAACAACCCTGTTTCGAAAATTGCATACGAAATGATAATCGTATAAATTTCAATACACAGCTCATTAAACCACAAAAATTGGATTAAAACGTTTCACATCTTTTTACTTTTTTTTTTTTTTTAATTTCTCCGAAACGTTTCACTAACTCTCTGGCTAAGTAAAAGATGATATCAAGATATTAATATAAAAAAAAAACGAATCGAATCAAAGACTATTCCAGAAATTATTCCAAAGTCAGAGCCGCGTGCTTCGAATCGAAGCTGGCGAAATCAGGGCGCGGCGGCTCCCTCAAAAGTCGAGCGAGCAGCTGTGCGAGCCGATTAAATCGAACCTGGTGATGATACAAAGCCAAGCTTCCCTTCCGTGAAACGTTCTGTACGAACTTGGCCAGCCAATTTATTTCTTCTGGCTTCGATAAACAAGCCGTCGATACGTCGGAAAGCCTCGCAGAATCAATCAAAGTCCGCGGATAGCGATGGAGCTGGAGAGAAGAAGAACAGAATTTCCCATTTCCACGAAGAAACTTTCGGTTTAGAAATTAATTTCTCTCCGATTGTATGCTTCGTTACGGGCTTTCTCGTGGAAGAAAAAGGGGGGAACGCAATTTAATCGATGAAATTTGATAATAAAAGATATTTTATATGGTTTTTATATTTTTAAAAAAATATGAATGCGATCTTTATTATTTATTTTATTAAACATTTGAAATTGTTTATCGCAATTGTGAAAGTTCGATTTTCGAAGAGGGAATGAACACGAGAAAACTCTTGAGAAAATTCGTATATTATCAGAATTGGTAAAATATTTTAAGGTATATTGGATCGTGAGGTTATAAATCCATTTCCGGATTTCTATTTACGCAAGGAGAATAATCATTCGACTAGGATGTAAAAAAACATCCATTAATACGAACTCTTTTGAACTCTTTGCAAGGAGCAGTTCTCCTTTTTACTCTTTCTTCCCCTTTCTCCACCGAATATGCTAATATATTATCTCTTCAAAGAAACGGATATATTTTTCATTCTGCGCCCCGACGGAAGGAATCGATCAAGCTAGCACCGCTTACATACACGAGTTTCTCAAATCGAAATATTCACGATGCTCGCTCATTAATAAACCATCTATCCATCTATCCCTTTCGTAACAACATTCCACTCTTCCACAAAAAAGAATTGTAACGAAATATTGAAACTCGTTGTTTACAAAGAGACGACAAAAAGAAGGCGATCGGATCAAGATAAAAAAAAAAAAAAATAAAATTACGCACAATTATCCACTCCTATTTCTTCTTCACTCTTTTTTTCCATTTTTCTCATCCGATCGAATCCCACGTGAATCTTGCTCGAGAATAAATGGACGCCGTCCTCAACCGTTCCATTTTCACAACTTAACGCTTGAGAATTTAATTACACCATCCAGCAGCGACGATAAAACAAGCAAACTTTTTATCATCGTCCCTGCGTCTTTAACGATTCTTTTTTTTTTTTTTATCACCGCAGATTTTTCTTCGAAGAGGATCCGTTGAGCGCTCGTCGATCCACTCATCATCCCTCCCCTCCTGTGTGGCCAGTTTCGCGGGAATTCAACGTGCTCCACCTTTCCCCTCGGCAGAAAAATCGCGATGT